CCATGGCTATGGAAGATGATGATATGATTGCTATAGAATGCTATACCCTCTGGTAAATTAACATGGACCCTGGCAGATAGGGGTTGGAAGACTAGTTTCCATTAAAAATTGGTGATTTTCAGGGTCTATGTTTATTTACCAGAGGGTAGATGGTTGTATAATCCATGGAATTCCACTGGAACATGATATAAAATATGTAAGTAGATTTTTTTCGGATGGAATTTGATGAAATTTGTTTGACATGATGATTCAATTTGTTTTCAATAGCCCTGTTTAATTGCCACATGTTTTTTTTGATTTGACTCATTCAACCCCCTAGGCCCCATGCATGATGGTTTGTCTTTAAGAGGAACGACACCAACTTTGACCTAATTTCATGTCGGTGAATGCTAGCAATTTGCGAATCATCCAGAAAGGATGTCTCAAATGTGAGGTGACCCAGCTGTCTGGGTAAACCGAGTGGTGAAGGCTAGGTCAAGGCGATCCCCATGATATTTCCAATGATACTTAATGTCAACCCCGGATTAATAAACCATGGTTTATTAATTAGGGGGGCACTCCTCCAATAGTCACAATCCAATACTTAAATGGTACCCCCCCAATTAAACAATCTAGGGGTTTATTAATCCAGGGTTGACATTATGGTTAAATCCATTTCAATCCCCATGTTGTTGGCCATTTCGTCAATTTTCGTGTTCCAGGTGCTGCAAAAGTTGGCCGGGTCATTTTTTTGGAAGTCCACTGGGCAGGGCGCTTGGCAGGGCGCATTAACTACAAGGTGGTGCCCCCACAGTTATAAGATGTTATAAGTTGGTTTAGAATCCCCATTAACTATAGATATATCATCTATAAACCCTAGTTATTGGACTTATAAACCAACTTAGCGATTCCGAACTGGGGCGCCACCTTGTACTCCCATTCTGAATAAACCCCTCCATTGTTGAGTGAATGGTGGGGGGTAGCATGGGCCTGATGGTTGAAAATTGTCCTTGTTGGTTGAAAACGCTTTCCCTATTATGTCAATGGCCATTTCAGGAACCTAAATTGGAGGTACGTTAGTACCATATAAGGCCATATTTTCTGGGGACATTCCCTTACATAGGCTTGAAAAATAGGCCTTATATATGGTAGGTACCTCCATTCTAGGATCCTGAAATTCCCATTGATCATGGGTCAGTTCATACTCCCCAACCGGTAGTATAACTCCGTATAACCCATCAAGCAGGGTATTTTAGATGGCTTCTGATTGATGAATTGTTTCGCAATTCCGGCTTCAACATGTATAGTTCCAACCCATCGGATCAATCAAGCCCTTTTATCAAGAGGCTGGTACAGGATGGGACCCCCCAGTTATAAGTTGGTTTATAAACCATCTGAAGGGGGCCCCATCCTGTAGCAGTTTCGGATCGGCTTTCCAGGCGGACGAGCCCGCGGAGTTGTTGAGCTCGCTTCGGCAGAAACTTCAGGATGCTGTGGTGTCATCTAATCTATGGGGTGTTTGGCTGCTGAAATCTACCCTCTGGTAAACTAACATAACTATGGAAAATCACCATTTTTCATGGGAAAAACCACTATAAATGGCCATTTTCAATAGCTATGTTAAATTACCAGAGGCTAAATCGGATTCTCATGGGATTTAGCCTCTGGTTATGACTAACAGTTTGCCATGGTTTTTCGATGGCCGATAGAAATAGATGGTTTACCGTTCTTGAAAATGGGTGAACTGTTAAAGAACCAGATGGTAATCTGATTTTGATGGCTTGTTTCTTTGAACCTTATTTATGCTAATCAGTCACTGCTACATGATGTTTTTCCCCACCTGCCAGGTGAGGGTTGTTAGATTTTATGTCAGTTGCCTCCTCCTCCTTCTCCTCCTCCTCCTGCCTCGTCCTCCTCTCCTCCTCCTCCTCCTCGTCCTCCTCGTCGTCCTCGTCGTCCTCGTCGTCCTTGCTCAACTGCGACCCGCGATCCACAGTGTTCTCTGCCGGACCTCAACCACGACCATCCACGCCCAGTGTTCATTGCCGGACCTCAACCACGACCATCCTCGCCCAGTGTTCCCTGCCGGACCTCAACCACGACCATCCACGCCCAGTGTTCCCTGCCGGACCTCAACCACGATCATCCCCGCCCAGTGTTCCTGCCGGACCTCAACCACGACCATCCACGCCCAGTGTTCCCTGCCGGACCTCAACCGCGAGTATCCACGCCAAGTGTTCCCTGCCGGACCTCATGTAGGAAGATATGGGACAAAGAATGTGCAGAAGAAAGTTAGAAAGAATGTCAGAAAGAATGTCAGAAGATATGCCAGAAGATATGCCAGATAGAATGCCAGAAGATTTGCCAGATAGAATGCCAGAAAATATGCCAGAAGATATGCCAGATAGATATGTCAGAAGATATGCCAGATAGATATGTCAGAAGATATGCCAGAAGATATGCCAGAAGATATGCCAGAAGATATGTCAGAATATATGCCAGAAGATATGTCAGATAGAATGCCAGAAGATATGTCAGAATATATGCCAGAAGATATGCCAGATAGAAATGTCAGAAGATATGTCAGATAGAGTGTCAGAAGATATGCCAGATAGAATGCCAGAAGATTTGCCAGATAGAATGCCAGAAGATATGCCAGAAGATATGCCAGATCATATGCCAGAAGATATGCCAGATAGAATGTCAAATAGAAATTCAGAAGATATGTCAGATAGAATGCCAGAAGATTTGCCAGTAAGAAAATGTATAAATGTCATGGTGGGGATCACACGAAGTAAAGTATTTTTTTTTTCGGTCGGTAAGTCCCCGATAATTGGGTGTTACCAAGCGTTGGCTGAATGTTTTCACGACCTCACAACGACGTCACCATAGAGGAAACCGGTTTTTGTATCATCCCGAAATAGCCCTACTATCCCCTATTTAAATATCCTTATTTCAGATTTGTGAAGTAGCAGTATATACACATATCCAGATAAGATGCCAATGATTTATATTAGAGCTATAAATGGAGATTTTCCACTGGACACTTTTTGTCCATAAACATCCATAAACATCCATAAACATCCATAAACATCCATTAAAAAAATAAACTGTCATGAGGATTCTCCAATCTTCTGCAATTTCATCATTTCATCAACTGTTTTAAAAGGGCTGGGAATGGGCTCCGTCTCATCCACCAGGTGCCGTGCGCACCTGGGTGTTTTTCACAACGATCCCAACCGTTGTGTCCAAAAGAACTCTTTTTTTTTGGCCAAAGATAGCAAGCAAAAGCTCCGAATGTTTTCGAAAAACGACATGTTTTTTTTCTGAATGTTGAAATGCTAAAATGTTGCTTGATCAAAAATAGTCGAACATCCCCTAATATCAAATACAGGGCATATGGGAAATAGATCCAACACGTTTCAAGGGAATATGTATTCTTTTGGGGAAGGCATTAGTCAACAACAATGGTGATGAAACATGATGAAACCACACATGTTAGGTGGATATAGTGGGTATTGGTCGAGTGTGGTACCCCTGGAACATAATTCTAGAGAACGAGGAAAAGAACAGTAAATCTTTATCATGGGCATTTTCCAATATACAGTGTGAGGCCCCCAAGATAGCGTTCAGTTGATTTATAACTCCAATGTCACTATGGTTTACGGTACTTATAACTATAGTTACTGGGGCGAATCTAGACCAACTTATAGCTGGGGGGCCCACATTGTATAAGTTATAATAGTTATTATACTTATTGTAAACTAATTATAGTTATGTTCACCAACTTAGTTATACAGTTATGTTCACTTAGTTAGTTTATTGTAACGGGTATAGTGAGTATAGTGCTTGAACTGGTTGAAGTCCTACTGAGCTCGTCAAAATCCGAGGACAGTTGCTCCGTGGGAACCTTGACAGGCAAAAAAAACGAGACCGGTGAGGTTGAAGGAGTAGCCTCTGGTAATTTAACAGTTTGCTACAGAATGGGGCCCCCAAGATAGCTAAGTTGAGAATAGTTGAGATTTTTTAGTGGCTGAATACTATGGTTTATGATAGATATAACATGATATAACTACAGTTAATGGGGTTTAGAATGTTTTATAAACCAACTTATAACTGGGGGGCCCCATCCTGTATGGAAGCCATGGCCCATGTTCATCCATTTTCTATAATTGATAATTACCTCTTAAAGATTGTGATATTCCCATAGCGATGTGAAATTACCAGAGGGTATGTGTTCATGGGGATTATTCATGGGGATATGGTAAGGATATGATGTGGATATAAAATCGGAGACAAGGATATAAACATGTATACCCTCTGGTAAACTAACATAACTATGGAAAATCACCTTTTTTCATGGGAAAACTCACTATAAATGGCCATTTTCAATAGCTATGTTAGTTTACCAGAGGGTAACCCAACAATTCAAGGGACACATTGGATGGAAATAGGGATTCTACTCAACTTTTGAACGCTCGTTCCGACCTAGCGCTGATCTGGGAGTTTGTGTTTCGGAGAGGCCAGCCTCATTGGCATTGGCCATTTCCAATAGAAGTCTGTGACATACTGCGTTCATTTCAAACAGCTTGAAATGGGTTTGTCTGAAAATAGGGTATATTCCCAATGAAATAGCCATTTAATAGGGATAATGATCATTAACCATTGGGTGTAGGGGTACACTATTTTTAGACACACCCAAATTATACTTGAATGTGTGCTGCATGACATTGTTGTGTAAGATAAGACTACAGTGACTACATCGACCCGTGCATCAAAGTGGAAGTCTTCTCTTCCAACGAGATCCACCATTTTCTTCTAAATTGGACTATTTAAACTCAACATGTCATAGATCTACTGTACATACCGTAGCTTCGAGCTGCTCAAGACCTAATCTCGACATTGTTTCACCCTGTAGCCTGTGTGGTTGGAGTGGAAAAGAGTTGGGATTGCTAGGACGTTGCTTCCTAACTTGTTTTCGAGTTGGTAGCGGAGCTCCTTGGTGCCGTCCAGGTTGAGCGATGCTGCTAACCCTCCTTGCCCTTCAGTGTTTCGTCACTGGGGCCACCGCCATGAATGGGAGTCTCGCCTCCCAGGGGAGTTTCGCCTCTCCTGATGCCCTGCATGATGATGTGATGAATGGGAGTGACGTCTCCCCAATTCGCGACAATGCAACCGTTCCAAAAGTATATGAAAGGCAACTCATGCCTCTGCCGAAGCTGAAGTGGATCAGTGGTCCGGTGTCTCGTCACCGGGTCCACACGATCGTGATGCTGACCGTCACCTTGACGGTGTTGACCACACTTGAATGATGTGGCAACCAGGTGCAGCGCAGGGCGGTACTGCCCGCCTACCACCGAGGTGGGAACCAGGATCCAACACATCCTTCAGAGCGTGGACTCAGGACTTGATGTTGTGGAGCATCTCTTCAGATGCTGAGCCGCACCAACAGTGCGCCCTGGTCATCTCACAGCTTGGCGGTGCTGCCCGTGAAGTTGCGAGGACCATGTCACCAGCCGAGGTGATGAATGGAGGAGTTGTGAATGGACAACACCTGGATCCTCTTAGCTATCTCATCCACGGCCTCAGTAGCCGCTTCGGACCACTCGATGACGAAGTGCGGTTGCGAAGCGCACAGGATTTACTATCCTTCAGCAGGAGGACGGGCGAGTCAACCGACACGGTGTTGTCAAGGTTTGACATAGTCAGACAACGTGCCCGTGCCGATGGCGGGGGAGCCACAGTGAGCACCGAGACGGCAGCGCTCATTCTGCTGAGAGCTGTTGGTGCCAATCATACCCAGTTCCAACAGTTGACACAGCCTTTCGGCTATAGGTTGCCATCCACGGAACAGGAATTCTTGCACATGACAAGCGCCATCAGACGGCTTGGACACATAGTGGAAAGCCATCGTGACAACATTGCCTCAACCTTGAGAGGCAATCAGGGGTCGAATCATTACTGGGCAGGTGCGTCCCCCAGTGATGAGACAGGCCCGAACCAAGAAGATGGCCAAGAAGCTGACGGTGCCGATGCAGGTGGAAACTGGTCCTACCTCACGAACAATGGTGAGTCGGACACAGACAGTGCCACATCCAGCGACAACAACTCGCTGATGGACATCTCAGGCCTCAATGGAATGTCCTCGTTCCAAGTGGATGAATACCTGTTTGGCAGGTACCAACATGCCAAGAAGAGATGGCGAAGGTTCACTGGCAAGCCTGTTAGAGCACTTCGACGCGTGCTGCGTCGCAAAGGCAAGGGCAAAGGCAGTAAAGGAGGCCTTGGACATGCCTATGTCAACATCAACGAGACGCTGCAGCAAAGTCCTTCTACAAGGGGAAGGGAAAAGGAGGCAAGAGCAGCGGGAAGGGATTTGGCAGAAGGTTGAACCCGAAAGGCAGAGATGGAGAAGTTCTCAAGTGCAGCATCTGCCAATCTCAGTACCACCTCCGTGCAAGATGCCCACAGAGGAGTGACGCCTCCCAGCCAGCAGCAGCGGCCACAAGTTCCGTTGGCCAGATCCACCATACGTCGCAGGCAAACCAAGCGAGCCGTTCGATGTATGTGCACTTTGCCGCCTTTCAGGCCCAGCCTGGAAGTGAACAGTCTTGGAGTCGTATCGGCACTCCAAGAGAAGATGGTGGAAATCAGGAGGGACAGCAGCAAAGCCAAGAAGGAGTGTCGACTCCTAATGCAGCCAATGCGCGACCCGGTGACAGAACTCCTGAGGTGTATCACATGACACCAGACCCTCTGCAGGAGAACGATCCGTGGCGGACATGGATGACAGCTGAACGCCCGCAAGGATCAGCAAGTAACCCAATTCAGCCAGCGCCATCGCACTGGCAAGGTCCAGCTGCATCGACGCTGGACCCCGGAATATCGGTTCCTGCATGGCACGTGCCGGATGTGAGATCCTTTCTGGAAGCCTCAGGACTGTCTACCACCAGACCAATGGTGGGGAGTGGCACTGAGCAAATGGTCTTGCCGCCGGTGCCGACAGCATACACCGCCGCAACTCAGGCCCTGCAGGCAATGGTTGAACCGGCACTTAGTGGAGGAGCAGTTGCATCAGAAGCCGCTGGTCTCTTCACTCAGGTCCATGCTGGGAGACAGGAGCGGCGACGTGAGAGTCGCAGTCACCGTGAACAGCAAGAAGAACAACAAGAGCCCGAACCTCAAGCTGCGCAGACCAGGGAGTCTCGCCCCCGCGGCGATGGAGGCCTGGAGGTGTACCAAGACACCTGCACAATCTGCCTGAACCGGTTTGCGGCAGAGGATCACTGTTGCAGACTGCAGTGTCGACACGTTTTCCACTGTGTCTGCGTGGGTGAGTACCTTCAGCACAACGCACCCATAGGCGAAGGAGACATCCGCCTGGTATGCCCCAACTGCAGGGAAGACACTCAGGTCGATCGTTCGTGGGTGCAGCCGACCTTCAACCTCCATGCGCAGCCCACAGTTGAGGAGCAACTGAATGAAGCCGTCCAGACCCCAGTTCCGTCTGAGGCAAGTGCAGTATCTGCTGAAGAATATGTGACGCCGGACAATATCCGGTCGTATCCATGGTGGCCAATCCCCGAAACAAATCCACCAACACCAGCCGATGCAACTGAGTCCAGCCATGGGTACCATTCGACTGTCAGGTGCGACGATGGTCAGTTGGGCCTTCTGGTCGACCCAGGCAGCTATGGGAATCTCGCGGGAAGCGGATGGGTTGAGGAGGTGGAAAAGACCCTCCAAAGCCAAGGAAAGACCGCATCACGAGAAACCCGCAGTGCACCCCTTCGCGTCGGTGGTGTCGGCAAGGGAAGCCAAAACTGTCGGGAAGACGTGGTCATTCCGTTGGCCATCCCAAGATCCGATGGGACAGTGAAAGGTGGCACCTATTCTGCCCCGGTCATCGAAGGGTCAAATGCACCAGCCCTATTGGGCCTGAAGTCCTTGACACAGCACAGGGCAGTCCTCGACCTGGTGTCCAACCAGCTACACTTGCTGGGGCCAGGAGAGTCCCGCTTCGAACTGGCAGAAGGGACAGAGACCTTTAATTTGACCCGGGCAGCCACTGGACACCTGCTGTTGCCTTTCCAAGAGTTCTCACGTCTTGCGAGTGGGTCTCAGGGAGTGCGCCATCTGTTCAGTGAGGAGGGCATCCACGAGTCAGGGTACATGACCACTGTCAAGACCGAGCAATGCAAACAGGAGCCGACCAACACCCCGGAAGATGCAGACAGAGCGTCAGAGCCTGCTGCAGCAAGTCCGGTCGAGCCCAGCATTGCAGTTGCATCCGATGCACCTGAGGAGAACCAGGAAGGTCAGAGCAGAGAGGCAGATTCCCAAGCGCCGACGTCACCAGCTGACGAACCAGCCCCGGAGGCAGGAGAGACTGTGACGCCAGTCCCTGCCGCTGAGGCCGAAGAAGCCAAGAGCAGCAGTCCGGAAGTGACAGCTGCAAACGAGGCTGTTCCGCCAGTCTCTGTTGAAGCAACAGCCGAGCCCAAGGCAGAGCCCGCAAGCCGTCACACAGGTGACTTCAAGAATCTGATCTTGGACGAGATCGCAGACCGCGAAGGATACCCCGAAGAAAAGGAGCTGACCAGGGATCCAAGTGGGGCTCGCTCACGCCGTGGCAGGCGGCGCCGCCGGAAGAGACGCTGTGAAGCAGAAGAGGAAGAAGACCCGGCGGGGTCGCCCGACGAAGAGGGCCGCGGACGAAGACGAAAACGGTCACCTGTCTCGCCAGGTGCCGTTCCAAGGGAGACAAAACGATGGGCATCCCAAGGGTCCCAGACTAGCCATGAGGAAGGGGTCGAAAGAGCGCCAAGCTCAGCAACTGACCAAACGTCAGCATATGACACTGACCGTGGAAGTGTGGTGCTTACACCACGTCGTGAGGGGCCAATTGACAAATCATATGTGGCGTTGCCTTCGGAGACGATCACACCCAAGAGTGGATCAGCAAGCAGCAGTGCACGCCCTGCTGAAGTGGCCAAAGCATGCGAGTCCGTGGCAGCGCAACTGCCCAAGGAGCGCGGTGCAGGTAAGTCAAGCCCACCGCTGCCGCCTCCACCGCGGCGGTTGGTGACGAGGGAAGATGATGGCCAAGAGTATGAGGTGGTGAGAGGGGAGCGACTGCCGCCGCCGCCGCCGCCGCGGCCGAAGCGACTCCTCCAGCCACCACCAGAGCCAAAGAATCCGCCAACGGCCAAGACTGGAGCTGCAGGAGCTCGACCCTTGCAGCGCGGAACCGATGCTGAGATCGCGAAAGCTGAAGCACACCTCACAGAGGTGATGGCGAACCCAAGTGCGACTCGCACAGCCAAGCGCAAGGCGCGAAGAGAGGTGCGTCAAGCCAGAGGCGAGCCGCCTCCCAGTTGACTATCCAGCCTGGCCGAAGAAGAGCTGAGGTTGTTGAGCATCAGCAACTTCGATGCTCATGCATGTGCATTTGAAGGAATGGATTGCCGAGTCACCCGTGTGAGGCCTGTGGAACTGACACGGGGAGGGTTCGATTCCATCCTTGAATTCATCAAAACAGACAGGTACGATATGGTGTGGGTTGATCTTGCTCATCCCAAGCGCTTTGTCGGAGCGACAAATCTATCTCGGGTCATGCAGAGGTTGCGTGTCCTGGTGACGGCAAGTCAACGGTATGATGTTCCGCTTGTCATCGCCAGTTCGCACTCTTCAGCATGGGAGCATTCAAGTGTGCAGTCCCTGGTGGACGTCTGTGGTTTGAAGTTGAGCACCCACAGGTGGTGCACCTTCGGACTTAAGACGACGGGTGGGAACCCCAGTGCCGTCGTCCACCGGTGTGCAAGCACCTTTGAGTGGCAGAGCACGCCCTGCCAATGCCCTGCAGATGCTGAACATGTGCATGACTTGCCCTGCGTGATCCCTGCTGCACTGCCCAGAGACGCCATACATATGAAGCTGAAGCAGCGGCCAATCTCCTGGAGTCCGCATGGATTTGCGAATCCGTGTCTGGGAAGTCAGCCGACTCAACAGTATCAATGGAAGGTACAGTCGTAGGCAGTGACAGCCAGCAGATAGCATGTCAATCCGCGCATCCAGCGCAACACGTAGAGCACAACGCGACGAGTTCCGACTCGTCAAGAGCTCGAGATCCCGCACCAGAATCTTCAGTGTTTAAAAGTTTAACCTTGCCCGCACAGAGCACTGTAAGCAAGACACCACACAATTTTTGCGCTACGTTTTTCCAATGCCGTTGCTGCGAACTGCTTGTTCCAAGTGAGACTGCCTGGTGCAACACCTGTGAAGCACCAGTGGAAAATGAACAAGCTCATCTGATCCAAGTCGGATGCTACCCTACAGAGCAGCGGTTGGCTGCCAAGCAGCGTGCTAAAGATGGCATTTTGCCAAAGAGAAAGAAGAAACAAGTCGAACAACATTTCGACGACTGTGGAGAAGATCTGACACCAATTTGTGACAAGGACCCAAAACTGTCCATGTTCATCGACGGATATTCATCCGATGAAGAAGATAACATTGGACACAAAATCTTATCATCCTGGGTTACACACGGTTTCCAGTGTTCGGAAAGTGACCTGCCTCCGTCAACACATCCAGGCATGGTCATTGCGGTCGACTTTGAAGAAGCCTATCCGATCTTGATCAATCGACCATATGGTGTTGAAATCGTTGAATTCTGTGGTGGTCAGGGACTGACCACTCAAATGGCAGTCAAGCGTCAGCTCAGCACAGGCCACAATTTTGAGCTGTTGACTGGCTGTGATCTCACAGACACCAGCACCCAGAGGAAAGTGTTATCGTACCTTTCCATAGCAAAGCCTTTGGTCATCGTGATGGCGCCCAGATGTGATCCCTTCGGCCCACTGGGACGCTGGAACCGAGTGATACATCCAGAAGGATGGGACCGCAGCTACCAAGAGTCCGCGCCTCTTGCAGAGTTCTGCGGCCGAGCTGCTCTCCATCAAATCAGTGAAGAAAGACATTTCCTATGTGAACAACCTCAATCATCAACCCTCTTCCAAGAGGAGCCCTGGCCGAGGGTACTGCAACATAAAGGTACTGTCAAAGTTGTTTTCCACCAGTGCCGTGTTAAGCAGTACATCAATGGCCAGTTGTGCAAGAAAGCCACCGAGTTGGTGGCCAGTACACGAACCCTTCTGGAACCTTTTGAGGGCCTAGTCTGTACTGGTGATCACCCGCATGCAGTGCTGACCGGTGGTCAAGCAAGCAAGGCGCAGAAGTGGAGTCGCGACATGTGCGACAGAATAGCCTTCGGCATTCAGCAACTAGTGGCTGTGGGCGGCGGTGACGAAGCCCAGGAAGATCCAGAACCTGAGGAGGCCGGCAACGAACCCTGGCGTAAGTGCAAGGGGTGCCGGTGGAGACTGCCAAAATATGACCCTCAACACAGCAGAGTTGCAGGTGAATGCAAACATCCAGACACTGAACCAGTGACCTTTGATTGCCCGGCTTGCAAGGCCAGAAAACCACGTGATCATGCCAGCCACACATACGATGACAAGTGCAGGCATGCAGTCACAGCCGCCAGAAAGAAGGTTCCCAAGAGATCAAGGGCAAGAGTGCCAGCGTCAGACGAACCAACCTCAGGATTGCGAGCCCGAGGTATGGGAGATGCAGATGAACAAGCTGCAGAAGAACAGCTGGAAGATGCCCCTGAGGCACGACCTGAAGAAGCCGGCGGAGTACGTCCCGCCGTGGAAGCTGCTGCTGAGCCAGCTAGCGCAGAGGGCAACGAGTTGCAGCTGGTTCCCGACAGAGCAGGAAGGGGGCCAGATCAGATCCAACGAGTGCGAAGGTCTTATCGTGAGGGTGAGGCCCAAACGCCAGATCCGTCTGACTGGACCTCATTTGACATCTCTGCCAGCCTGCGAGGCCTGCGATTATCCAATGAGGCGGGTCAGCGCAGGATCATCCGCAAGCTGCATTTACGCTGGTGGCACGCAAGCAGCCACAGAATGATCCAGTTGCTCAAGAGCGCAGGCCTACCGCAGTCCATTCTGGATATCGTGCCAGAAGTAGTGGACACTTGCAGAATCTGCCGGTTGTGGCAGAAGCCATCCAGTGACAACATCGCGGTGAACCGCGTGGTAACCGGATTTAATCTGGAAGTGGAAGGCGATCTGATCTTCATCACACACCAGGGCGCAAGTCCGCCCGTTCTACACCTCGTTGACAGAGGGGTAAGGTGGGGCTTTGCCTGTGTGTTGCACGACAGGACAACTGCATCAATCCTGAACGGCCTGGACCAATGGATATCAGTGTTTGGACCCATGCAAGTCCTGATCTTTGATGGAGAAACTGGACTTGATGACCCAGCAGCAACCCAATATTTCGAACTAAAGGGAATTACGAAAAGGACATCCGCACCTGGCCAGCATGTGCGAATATGTGATCGACGAACCCAAGTCCTTCGTGACACGGTTCACAAGATTTCATCCCAGCTGTCTGAGGAAGGAATATCGCTTCCACTCAGCAGAGTGCTGGCAGAAGCAACATATGCAGGCAACGCATTGACATCCATTCGAGGGGTGTCGCCGTACACAGCAGTCTTGGGAAGAGTACCGCCTCTTCTACCGGACGCTTTGTCTGTGACAGATGACACAGAAGCACACGTGACTGCGCAACACACCCATCGATTGCGCGAAATAGCCATCCAATGCATTGCCGAGGCCAGCGCACAAGACCGGCTGAAACGTGCAAGCCACACACTCACCAAACCAGCAGGCGAGGAATTCGAGTACCGCCTAGGTGAGCAAGTGGAATACTACCGTCCACCCATGAGTAAAGACGTCTCAGGGTGGAGGGGGCCGGCCACGATCTGTGACCTGTCTCGTCTGGAGCATGGACGAGTTGGAATCAGGACCCGCAGCGATAATGTGCTTACATGCCGCCTGCAAGATGTCCGCAGATGTCTAGCATACATGGTGGATATGGAGTCACCACTGTCAAGCACAGCAGGTCAAGCGCAGCAGGTACTGCAAGAGTTCGTGGATAACATGAAAGCAGGACCTGAAAACACAATGCTTCTTGGCAACATCTCTAGTAACACTGGGTGGCGCATGTCCAAAGTCACAGAGCGACACCAAATGGTGTACCAAGCCGCAGTGGTCGTAGCCGAATTGATTTTTCAGTTGCAGAACCTTGCAGCTGTCAGAATTGGCAAGGGTGTTCGAACCTTGTCGAAGAAGAGTGAATATGCAGCAAGCATGACGGTCTTTTGGACCGCAGCAGGAACAAGATCTTTGGAGTTTCTGAACAGCGAAGACACCAGTGTGTCATTCGTAGCCATGTTAGGTCAGAACTGGACAAATGTTCGCTTTGTTCAATACCTGACCGTCACAGCCGAAGACGATTTTCAGAACTCCATCAAAGAGGATGAAGTGATGAGTGACGTCTCATCCACATCCAACCAAGCGACGGGACCAAGCACACACGACAATGCAAGTGTGGGAGGTCCCTTAAGCACAATCCCCGAAGGAAGTAACGAAGAGGAAGCGCATGTGACAATCCAGGAACTGGAAAAGGCATTCGGAATACCGGCAGATCATCCCAATGTAAATTATCTGGCCGAAGCATTCGTTGCCATATCAGCCGAGGAGGAGGACACTGTGCCGCCAGTGTTCACGACCCTTGAAGAAATCAGTGGCCCGGCTCTGACCAGGAGCCTTAAGGCCATGGAAGAAGTAGCCATCCCCAGTTGGCAAGAAGTCGCGTATGTGACAGAAGATGACAGCTTCCTGAGCAGTAATGCCCTACTCGAGCAGTTGCAGCAAGTTACAAACGAACTGCCCATGCTGGAAGACCAAGATGAGTATGGAGCATATGCTGCCTTGGAGGCGTACTATCCAGAATGCAAATATCTGGAAGGTCTTGACCGACTCCCCAACTGCGATGAGCATGTGGAGCTTCGATTTTACGAAGCGCACACCAGAAAGGTAGTCATCGATCGGAACGATGATCTTCTGACAGAACAGGAAACATTGGAGCACTCAACTGAGGTGCTTCAAGCAATGCTCGATGAACTAAACACTTGGAATGGTTTCCGCTGTTTCAAAAGAATTAAGAAGTCGGAAACAAAATGCATCATTGACACAAAGTGGGTACTGAAATGGAAGCTCAAAGGCGGGGTGCGGCACATACGTGCCCGCCTCTGTCTTCGTGGCTTCAAAGAGTCAGGATGTGACAACGACACCAATCACAGTGCTACAGCATCCAGGTTGTCTCAACGACTGTTGGTGTCGGAAACAGTACTGCGATCGTGGGTGCTCGCATCCACGGACATCCCTAAAGCGTTTCTGCAGGGAGTTTCGTATCAGGAGTTGGCGGACACCACCAACAAGCCACTGCGTGACGTCAGCTTCACG